CAGTATCCTGATCTGCCGAGGGTCCCGCCGCCTCACCCCAGCTTTCACCTGCTACACAGAACCTAACCTTGTCAAGGAGGCAGGGATGCTTGCCAACAAAGAAATCAGACCATGGCAAAGAAAGAATTTAAGCAAACATGAGAATGTACATACACACACAGCACAGAGAATTTTTACCACCTGGCTTTCTGCTTTCTGTGCTGTCATGGCCCCTTGCTATTCAGACACCAGTGGCACAGAAGTCCAGGAAAGACTGTTCCTGGCTGAGAGATTCTGAAAACCATGCTGTGGGGCAATCCTGGGGCTCAGCCTTTGGCATCAGGACTGGGCAACATGGGGAATGGAAAGAGAGTCTGTAGAAGACCAAGTAGATGGCCCTCCTTGAATGCAGAACTATTGCCTTGACATTAATGAAACTGGGCCCTGTCTCCATGTACTGATATGTACAGAGCTGGTTAAGCTATTTCCTTCTCCCTTCCATTGGCTGTAAGCAATGCAAATAAGTCTAGCTGAGGTAATCATACATAATCTTTGAGACCAACTAACAGTTTCCTGTCCTCACATTGTGTTTTCTATAACTAGTTTAACACAGCGGGATGGCAAAGCTATATAGCTCCAAGAATATCCACTGGGTATGAGTCTCAAATTAAGAGGCTTTGTCTTCCCAGGGTACAAAGTTTGCGTATCAGAAACTGAAGCAACAGCTCGCTAAAAACATTCAAATGCTACCCTAATTAGGTTATGTAGACTGGTCTTTCTGCATTTCTTTCTCCCTGCATATTGCAGAGGTGCATACTCTCCACCTGGCCAGCTCAGCTCGCTCCTGTAATTCCTGCTTTTCTCATTGTCACTTATCCTTGAGACACTCCCTTTTTCATGAGATAGTAAATTCTGGGGGAGGCCTTGAATCAAGGCCTTTGTTCTTGTATCCTCACTTGAATTGGACTTAGGATCCCTCAGCTGCCCAAAACTTTGAATATGTCTTAGTGTCTTTACTCTTGCCATGGGTTGCACTGAAGGTGGTAGATTGGAATTAACTTGCTGGGATCCCAATAACCTTTCTCTGGGATTACAAATATAACTTTCTGGATTGTGAGATGGACCGGAAAAGGGTTTACAATATTTGGATTATGATATACAATATTTGGATTGCAATATGGTCAATCAATTCCACTTGGATGGGATAGCCCAGTCTCTTCTAGGCGCATGAGCAGTAAGGGCTACCCTGGGGAGAAAAACATCCCCTGCCCTTCAAGAACTCCCATGCAAATGAGAAATACCTCAAGTTCAACTCCAGCATCCTCTAAAACCAAAGGAGAACAATGACCTCCAAAGTCTAGGGTGGTGTACAGCCTTACCACCCCGAACACACGCAGTCATTTCCTTTCAGCTCTGCTCTGTGACTTGCTCCATGTAATCAAAGTGCACACAGGATACATCTGATATTTATTTAATTGATTTAATGTAATTTATTTATTTTACTTTACTTTATTATGCCTTCCAATTAATAGTTCAACTACCCAGTGGCTCAATAACAGATTCAGTATCTTTCTGGACAGCCTTATCTCAACTACTCCTAGAACACCAGGAAGGTATCCATCCAGAGCTCAGGCTCCATCACAACTAGCAATCAAAGGAGCCTGAGAATTTGGTCAGTTCATACCCAGCATTGATGTCCTGTGGTGTGACCAAGGATGGGCCCCTGCTTTGTGGGGTGCCCTTGATGGTCTCTATTCCTTCTCACACCACTGCATCACCAAGATAATGCTTCAAGGTGTCCAGTCCTTCCCTAGCCGAGCCTTTACCAGGCACAATGCAGAGACTCTGAGGTCAAGACGTCAGGAGGGTTTGTTTCTTCTCAGCCCTCATTTCTTGACTTGGAAGTGGCTGTCTGCTGTCTGTGTCTTCGTGTGGTCTCTCCTTTGTGTGAGTCCATGTCCTAATCTGCTGTTATGATGACATCAGTCATACTGATTAGAGCTCCCCTGAATGACCTCTTTTGCTTTAATCACTGCCCTTAAATGTCATTCTTGAAACACAGGCACTGTAAGGCTTTGGTGCCTAGGACTTCATCACATGGGTCTGGGCAAAGACAGAAGGACACAATTCATTCCACAACAGTCACTTATCCACTCACCACTAAAATGACAACACAGGGGGTGGGAATCTGTGCCCAGTGCCAGGTAGAAGCTCAGTAGCTATTTTTTAAACACAAGAATGCATTACTGCCTCTCCTGGGACATGTAACACTTTGTACCTCATAGTACAGTGTGTCCATTTCTGGATGTAACCCTCCTCCACCATCTGGAAGATCCTTTGCCCAGGCTTTTATCTGCTACATCTCACAGACTCAGGATTGGGCCTTAGTCAGGAGGACGAGGAGGAGCTGTTTGGTTAAAAAGAAAACCAACAGAGATGTGTATTCCCTCCTTGGCTAGTCACCAACTATGTACCTTGGGATCACTCACCACATCTCCTCAGGCCCCAGCTCCTATCTGTGAGGCAGACATTAGAACATCAGCCATGCAGGGTTCTGTGGCCTGCCAAGATCATGGAGTGAATCACTTTTGGAACCCTAACGCCCTCTGACAAATGCCACCTGCCACCTGCCATTCTTAGCTATGTTGTAGCACTTGATTTTACTTGTTATGGGAGTGTTAATAAGTTATTCTCAAAACTTAGTGTCTTCCTTTCTCAATTTCTGGTGAGGGAGAGAGAGAGAGATAGAGAGAGAGAGAGAGAGAGAGAGAGAGACAGAGAGACAGAGAGACAGAGACAGACAGAGACAGAGAGATAGAGAGAAATGAAGGAAGGAAGGAAGGAAGGAAGGAAGAAAGGAAGGAAGAAAAAGGGAGAGATAGAGTAAGGAAAGGAAAAGGAGAAAGATAAAGAGATAATGAACCATAACAATCGTTTATTTTGCCCACAAACTCTCAGCCCATTGCATCGTGAGGAGGCTACAGGCTGGGGACTAGAAGTGTGAGGCTAACTCAGGGCTCTGACAATTGGTGCTGGACATCAGCTAAGATCTTAGCAGACCAGTGGTGACAACCTCAAACGTGGCCCCTCCGTGTGGCTTGGGCTTCCTCACAATATGGTAATGGGATTCCAAGATGGAGCCAGGGAAAACTACACTGCATAAGTTGTGTCGTGTCATGTTCCTTGCAAACCCTGGGGCCTCAGGGTACAGCTCCATGCTATAGACCTTCCCTAACTTCCTTCCTCAGTGTGGCAGATTCCTGCCACATCCTGACCTCATGTAGCGCTGCCTTTACAAGAGGAGAATGGAGATGATAAATTAATACTAAACAGCTCCTAATGCTAGCTGAATGTAGAGGTCTCCTCCCAAGCTATGAAAAGGCCACCCCTTTCCTGGGCCACTAAGATATCTAGAAAGTTCACACCTGCAAACCTCAGAGAGAGGAGAGAACTTGGGAAATAGTGGCCCTGACCTCACAGCCCTGTACCACCTGCCTGTGCAGAGGTGGAGCCCTTGCCCCATGTACTCCAGCCTGCATGCTGGCCCTGCTGTGCTCCTCTTCTTAACCCATGGAGAGAGGAACCCCTGACTTTTCCCCTGAAGCAGCTAATCATAGCACGAGCACCAGGAGCCCACATTTCTTCACCCCAGTTAGTTCCATAGACAGTAGGGGGATCCGGGAAGATCTGCAGAGTCCCCAAACAAAACTGAGCAGTCAGATCCTCAGTGCATCATTACTTCACTGAAGGAACTGTCTAAAGAAGATTAATCTTTAGAACCACCCCAAACCATGTTGCTTTCCGCATGTCCTCTCCGAGTCATCCACATTTTTTCTCTGACTCATTCGCCCTTTGTGATTGCTAACCATGTCCCGTGTCCATGACGAAACATCAGACTTTATTTTTTTAAGTTCCTACTAGTCAGGAGGTTCTAGCTCACCTCATGAAACTCAAGGGGACACCACTCCTGTCACCTCCATCTCTGCCACTCTCCCACACACACACACACACACATGCACCCACACAGCCACGCACTTGCACACACTGTCAGGTCCTCACACACTCCCTCTTCTGACTGTCCTCGGCCCCAGGAGAAGCCCACCCTCCCTGGCCTGACTCATGACTGATCTCCGGTTTTTGCTCCTGCCATTCTCCTCTCATAGTAACACTGGCTGAGCTGTTTCCAGGTCCTCTGGTGCTCCATGCTCTCCTTTACTGCAGCCTTCACACATGCCAGTCCTGCCCAGTACTCTTCCCCTTCCATCTCAGCCTGTGGCCCTGTGCTTGAAGATGCCTACCAGGGAAGCCCTGCTCAGCCCCCTGTTGACATTGGTCATCTCTGCCTTCTGCTCCCTTCACCCCCTGCACATCTTTCTCAAAACACTCAGCTTGTATCACTACAATTACTTAAGAGCACTCTGTCTGCCAATACCATCACTGTTGAAAGCAGGGCAGGACTGTGCCATCACCAGACTTGTTCATCACACTATCCCAGGACATACCATTGAGTCCACTGTTGAAGGTTGCATGAATAAATGAGGCTTTGGGGAGCTGGGTGTCCCTCCTAATCAGGGTCAGTGACTGTTACTATGGTTTGGCTCCTCTGAAACTCTTTTCAGAATTTGCATCTCATTGTAAGGCACTGAGAGAGTGGAAACTCAAACAAAGAAAGTGTTTAGAGCTGGGACTTAAAGAGTGACTAAGATTTCATAAGATCATCAACCCTCGCAGTTGAACGCTGGGAGCTCCATGAGAAGAGGGAGGAAGACCAGAAAACACACACACAGGACTGTCTCAGGTCTCTGTCAGCAAGGCCATCTCAGATGTGGCCCTCAACATTAACACCTTTAGGACCACAAGTCAAAATAAATCTTTTTTCTTTACAATTTACCTGGTTTCTGATACTGTCTTTTTTGGCCACAGAAAAATAGAATTAAAACACTGTCTTAGTCTGTGCTACTATAACAAAATACTCGAGGCTGGATCATCGATAAAAAAAATAAAACTTTATTTCTTATGGTGCTGGAAGCTGGGAAGTTTAAGGGAATGGTGTTGCTGGATTTGGAGTCACTTAAGGACCTGATCTCCATTTTCAAGATAGCACTTTGAAGGCTGCATCCTGCAGAAGAAAGAAAGGTAAATACTATTTCTCACATGACAGTGCAATAGAGGAACAGAGAGAGCAAGAGGAGGCTGAATTCATCTTTGGGGAAGGAACATTCTCCAGTGATAACAGCATCAACACATTCATCCATTGGTGAGCTCAGAGCCCTCATGGCCTAATCACCTCTCACTGTGTCCATCCCCAGCACCATTGCACTGAGGCCATGTTTTCAACTCAAGCTTTTGAGGGAACACATTCAAACAGTAACAGTGGCTTCTCTTTTCAGCCCTGGGCACCACCAGCATCAAAATGTCCCAGGGGCATTCAGGCTAAGAGAAGGAATGGGCAGGAGGGGAAAGAAAAAAACAAGCTAAGGAGAAGAGAAGAGTGAGGAAGGATAGTGAAACAGGAGGAAGGATGTGCATGGGGTGTCTGCTTCTCAAACTGGGGTGCACATGGCCCCAAGGTGCATGCCAATATTCTAGCGAGTAATTAATGCCATGGCATAAGTAAGGTATACCTCAGAGGGCCCATTTTATTAGTTAGCATCATTTTAAAATTATTTTTAGATCCAAAGAGATTTGTTGTGGAGTCAGATGAAAATCCTGCATTGATTACAATGATTTTTTTAAGGAAAATAAATTAGATTTCTAAGTTATGTCATGTGTTTGCGGTAAGATCTGGGCCCCACCGTCTCCTTCACCCTTATTCAGGGAGTCCGTGCTCCCCTCTCAAGCTCTAGCCTTCAGGTTCTTTGGCTAAGAAGTGTGAGTGCCCTGGGGTGCGACCTGGGGTTCATCACCACATGGTGACAGGATTGGAGATAGAGCCTGCCCAGAGACCGACAAACCAGGGAACTTAGGAGTTAGCTGCTCAGCGTCATGTCTGCTGTAATCTGTTCATCTTAAAGACCCTTTCAAGGTCCTTTGGAGGGTGAATATTTGCAAAACAGAGAATCAGGAGGGACTATTTTACTTTTGCCTGACATGCCATGTTTTTTGGTAGCAGTGGGACTTCTGCATATCCCTCTGAAGAATAAACACGAGGACGGTTTATTTGCAAAGAGCTCATGCCAATCCCCCAACTTTGCCAAGATGCTAGTAGCTAACATCACATGTTAGATGTCAGGCATATAAGGTGGATCATTCCACAGGGAGAGAAAATAACCATCTTGATCAAGGTCACACTGGACTAAAAGCTGCCATAGGGATTCAGTCCCAGGAAATGAACTCAAGACCTCTGCTTTCTGCCCCGGCTCTGCTGCCTGTGAATCCTGAAGGCACCAGTGCAGGGCACCCTCCATATTTAATATTTTCACCCTCACAGCCTAGCAACCATTCTAAAGCAGCTCAGAGAACCATCATCTCACCTCCTCCTACAGGCTTAGAAAGAAGGAAAATAAGCAATCCTGTGGACTTTGGCACAGAGAGGAAACTGTGAGCTTCCTCCTTTCACCCTGAGTCTTGACAAATCATGAATGTATTCAGAAATCGCACCTGCTAGGAGACAAAGGAGAGAAATAAATCCTTTTCCATCCTTGCAGTAAGATCACAGGGTCCTGCAGGCTGCACGAGGAACAGAAACTAGGCTCTCCTTGTTCACAGAGATGGAGAACTCTAACTCTCTGATCTCCATCCTCCTCCTCCTCTTCCTCCTCCTTTTCTTCTTTTTTTCTTCTGCTTCTTCCTCTTCTTCTTCTTCTTCTTCTTCTTTTTCTTCTCTCTCTCTCTCTCTCTCTCTCTCTCTCTCTCTCTCTCCCCCCCCTCTGTCCTCTCTCACTCTGTTTCTCTTTCTCTCCCTTTATCCCTCTCCTTCTGTAGCATCTCCTTTCCCTTGCCTAATTGGCCAGACTGAGTAACAACTGGAAGATCAGGTATCTACAGCAGAGGTCATCAACCCTGGCTGCTACTGAAATTTAACACAGATGATTCTTTGTTGGGAAGCACTGTCTTGTGCATGATAGGACACTTAGCAACATCCTCAGGCTCTACCCACTAGAAGCCAGTAACACACACACATGCACAGGTGTGCACACACACACCTCACCCCCTGCAAGTCCTGACATCAAAAATGTCTTCAGAAATCATCAAATGTTCCTCGGAGGGCAAAGTCATCCTTGATTAAGAGACTCTGGCCTAGACAAACAAGCCACTTACATCAAGAAGCTCCCAAGTAAGTCAAATCCAGTTGCACTTATTGTTGGTGACAGTAAAAATTTGTTACCTGCAATAGGATTTTTGTATTTTCAAAGCTTTTCCTCTTTATCGTCATGTCCCTTTCCCTGTTGCATGTATTATAATTTCTGACTACAGCAGAACCTTTCAGTGAATCCCTCACAAATACCCCCCACTTATCTCAGAACAGCACCCTGCCTGCGTGTGTGGCAATGAACCTGATTCCTCTGCCTGCCATTCCTTCCCCCAGCGCTCACAACCAGGGACCCGCAAGTGTTGCTATATGAGTACCTAGCCCCTTCACCCCTCAGGAAGGGTCACTCTGGAGCATGTGTGTTACAGTATTTCTCCAGGTTTTCCCATCGGATTAATGATAGCCCTCTCACTACTGATTCCTTGGCACCTAACAGTGTCTAGAATATGGTGAGTATTCAATAAATATTTCTTATGCATGAATTAAATGAATCCAAGAGGCTCCTGCGGTTAGGAGAGAGAAGTGATTTTCTCCAAGCTACGCACCAAGTCACTGGCAGAGTTCAAAGTAAAATTCAAGTCTCTTTGATCTTTATCCACTGTGCACTGCTTCCTGGGAGACATAGGTAGGACACATACTTGAGAACCAGGAGCTTCCAAGTCTACTGATAATTCAGGACATAAAACAACCAACTGCTTTCTCCTTAGAAACTCCTCAGGGTGCATCTCAGCAGCTCCTGTACTGGGAAGCCTCTGGTCACTCGTTTTTTCGGTGTCCTCACCCGGCCACACACCCCACTGTAAGAGTTTCCTCGAGACATGCCGTCTTAGCTCACTCCTTTTCCTTCTGAACACTGAGTTCCTTCAGGCAATGGCCCACACATGCTGAGGTCTCCCTACTCTTTATCTCCACCATTCAGCACAGGGCCTGGGCCCTGAATCAGTGCACAGTGATTACAGAATGAACCTCTGTGCAATTGTGGAGCTAGATTATGTAGCTGTATGAGTTCTTCATGTTACAAGAATTACAGGAACTTTGGTGCCCTTGTAAAGCAATCTTCACTTACCAGGAAATCCTCCTTTTCACACTGTGCTGCAGAGAACCTTTAGAATTTCTGCCAAAACAACAACAAAAAAGTGTAGCCATGGAACAAAAATAGTATTTGCTAGCTATTATTGAGCATTTCTGACATACTCGGTATCTTTCATGCATTGCCCCACTGGATGCTCATATCAACCCTCAAGGAGGACATTATTGTTACTCTCAATTTATGATGAGAATAATCATTTCTTAGAACTGTGTGTTGCCCAAGTTCATTCAGCAGTAAGAGCCGTGGCATGGATAGGAATCGAGATTAGCCTGACTGCAGTCCCTCTGTCTGTCTTTGAGGGCTTAATGTTCAAATAAAATGCAAGTGGCTAAAAGTCCTTGCTTGTCTGCTATCAGAACTGGCCCATGTCCTGGTGTGTGGATTTGTAGTGGATGGAGACCACATTCTTCTCACCTTTTTTCCCCCCTCACACTCGGTATTTGTGCCCTGCATACAGTAGATACTGAGTAAATATTAGAGGATGATTTGGATGAATCCCTACACTGAGGTTTTAGGTTGCAGAAGAGCCACGATATGCTAGCCTGGGTCAACACAACCAGAAGGTTCTCAGCCAAAACACAGATTGGCCCTTTCTTCCTCCATGTAGCCCATCTTGTCTCTGTAAACTTCCTCACTTTACAGAAGAAAAAACTGAGATCTGAGCCACACAGTGCTTTGGTGAGTGGGTTAGAGGCTGAGCTTATGCACAGGACCTTCGCTCTGGCTCTCTGGCCCGGTCCTCGGCCTCCTCTGAAGTTCCTCAGACAGGTTTATGGATGTGCATGCGGCTTGTTCACTGCTTTCTGCTGATATCCCTGCCTCCCTCACAGCCTCAACCCTGGGGATGTGGGAGACGGAGAGCTCAGGTCTTCACAGTGTTATGCTCACAGGGGAAGCAGGAAAACCCCTGTCCAGTTCCTTCCCAAACACTGCTGTACATCAGGCTCTCTAGCTAGTCTGGGACTCAGTGGTTTCTGTCTTGGTGCTGCCTTTCAAGAGTTGGAGTGACTTCCTGGATTTGTCAACAGAAAATCCTCTCAGAGCATTCAAAAAGAGCAGGTAAACCCTGCCCCTTCAAGGTCCTTCAGTCCTCAATAGAGTTCTGGTGGCCCTTGTATAATATTGAGCCCAATTTCCCAAACATCCCACTTCTCTACGCTTGACCACCAAATAAGACAGACCCATGGCCCTCCAGGGTCTTCTGCAGCTGGATTGCCCCCTGACTTGGGACCCCCACTAGCTAGCACTTAATAATCTTGGTTTTTCCACATTGCAACTCAGTGGTATACTTGTCTGTTCCCCCACATGGCTCTCGGCCCACTATGCCTATGAATGGGAATCCCATAGAGTCAGGCATTGACTTTCCCATGCTTCAATCCCTAGCACACCACACAGTGCCATCCAGCATAACAAGTGCTCAATAAATGATTGATAAATCACAATGACTCAGCTTCATCAGAGCAGAGAATCTAAAATGTTTTTCCCTTGCATGTGAACAGGTGAGGATTTATTGAACCTGGCACCAGGAAGGATGCTGGGATATTGCACAGTTAATGTCTGAGTTGGAGGTGGGAGTGTCAGATAAGTGACAAAATGTGCAACGTAGAGCAGAGGCATTTAGCACAACCGGAGAGGAAGGAACACCCAGAGAAGCATTTGTTCTACTCTGAGGAGGTATTGCACCTCTGTTTCTCACCAGTCATGACACAGGTCATTCTGACATATCCATTCTCTCCCTTGGTCATCACCCCAGCTTGTAGCATTAAACTGTAGGCAGATAACCCAGGAATGGAAAGGAAGCCAGGAAATAGATTCCCTCATTACAAGAAGGAACAGCCCCAGCCAATGCCCAGCACAGACCTTAAGACCAAGAGTTGCTTGTTTATAGACTTCCTCTGGGGCTGAACTCCACAAATGAGGCTGGATAATTCACTGGACTGGTTGTTCACCATGCCTGGCGCTGGTGCCTAAAGATGTACAATCGGTGTTTTACACAGACATACTTGGTGGGAGGGTCAAGCAGAAATCCAAACTGTGCTTCAGTTAACAAGCCCTGTGCCTAGCTCAAGGCTGTGTCCACTCTGAGGAAAGGGCCATCCTTATCTCCAGATGGGACACATTGCTCTTAAAGATGCCCTAAATCTAGCAGACATCTCTCTGGGGACTGGGATGGGTGGTAATGGAGGAGGGGACAGAGATGTGGGGAATGTAGGGGAAGAGGTACAACACAACAGCATAAAGCAAAGAAATGGCACTTTCCTTAGCTTGCAGGAGCCTGGGGGGTGGGTAACGGATGCCAGACTGAGCCACTGTGGTGTCCCAGAACCCCAGCATAGCCAGTGGGCCCCATCGCAGGCCCTGTTATCACACACCTATCACATTTAGCTCTAAAATAAACACGCCTCTGGCTTGGGATAAACCTGAACCTGACCCCACACCTCCCACATCCCTCTCAGCCTCTGGCTACCTTCTCCTTAAAAAAAAAAAAAAAAAAAAAAAATCCAGGAAGCATCCGGTGTGCTGCTGGTGTGAGTGCCAGCTCGGTGCAGTGAATCACCACCACCGCGACCACATTTCAAAGCAGAGCCCTAAGAGTGTCGGTGACTTCGGGGTGCCACACAGATCACTCCGAGCTCTGATCTATGGGTTGTTTTGATTTCCTCCTTTGAACTCTTCCCATCCCACTCCAGCAGCAGACAGAGATACTGAATTAAGCGACAGACAAGTTGGAGACAATGAGCTCCAGGGGCCCTCTCTCTCCTCCCCGAAATTTGCAGACATCTGCTAGCTGGAGCCCAGAGCTGGAGTCATAAAGAAGAGCTGGCAGGAGGGTGATGTACAGCCTTGAGCTCTCCCCAGTGACTGGCATTAACCTCCAGTAGAGAGGCGCTCACCCTGCTGACCACGGAGCCTTTGTTTTGGACCCCTCAGCCGAGATGCCTTGGCTGTGCCGAAGATTTAACCAAATTATAATGAATGATCCTCAGCAGCGCTGTGCCCCTAATTAGAACAAGTTGCACAGACATATTGTCTCCCTGATTTCCTCTGTAGCATTTCTCGCCCTCTCTCTCTCTGCTCGGGACACATGGGCCCCATTAAACATTCTAGTATTTAATGTGGTTCCCTTAAATTACTTCTCAAGTTTTCGAGTTCCATTTAGAATTGGATTTTACTCTTTGGACTGTGTTTTTGATTTGGAGCTTTGTACGTTTCATAACCGCTCATTTTCTCCACCTAGTGGAGACTGTGGACCGCCAGCCAGCCAGGAGAGCCCGCTGCAAGGTGGTCCCTGGGACCTTCTGTTAACAAGGAGGCTTCTTTTGCCCATTCCTTCAGGGACAGAGAACTTAACGTAAACCTAAATTGATAATGTTGGTTTTATGATCCTCAGACTGATCTCCCCTTTGTAATTAAAGCTTGAGGATTTCCCAGATACCATATTACAGTTTATTGTAAGTTATAGAAGGAAGAGGAAAAATCACCTTCCTCAGCCTATCCTGGAGGTCATTGTGGGAAGAGGTTATATTTGAACTCTTAAGAAAACCATCGGCCTCAACTCTGCAGAATCCATGTTCTGCAGAAGAGAAATTTCCTCCTTCACCAAAGCAGAGAAGACTCATAGTCTGTTCAGAGATGGCAAGAAGACAAAGGGGAAGGGTACCTTGGGAAGTTCAGGGAGTGGAGTCCTGTCCTCCTTGAGCAGCTGTGTGTGTGTGTGTGTGTGTGTGTGTGTGTGTGTGTGTGTGTGTGTGTCTGTCTGTCTGTCTGTGAATTTTTCCCCCAGTGTTTGGATACAGAAGCAATGCACGTACACACATGCACCCAGATAGAATCGATAGGGAGGGTGTGAAAAGATTCCAGGGAATCCGCAGCCCACTGGTGGGTGTGTGCAAAGACAGATTCCACACCCTGCCTGTGTGTCCAAGTAGCAATTTAGAATTCCTTGAAGACAGGAATATTCTGGGTAAAGCTTTTGAGTTGGAAGGGCTTTGGGACCTCTGGTCCTCCCTGTCACCCAATGCCAGGAAGCCACCTAATGAAACCCCAGAGATGTTCATTCATGTGATATCTGCAGAGGTGGACTTTTCAACTTCTTAGGGCAGCCTAGAGCATTTGAGATTTTCTGGAGGGCAGGGCACATGGAGAGTCAGGAAAGTAGAGGCCCCGAGAATCCATCTATCTGACCTCAGGAAAGGCATTTGACCTCTCTGATGTCTCATTCATTCAGCACATATTATCAGGTAATGTTCTAAGTGCTGGACTCCTTCATTTTAGATCTAAAATATCCCCCCAAAAGTGTTTGGAGGTAGGGCCTTCAGAAGGTGGCTGGGTCATAAGGCCCCTAACTTCACCAATGGACTAATGACCATAACTTGATGGTGTTATTCAGAGGTGATGAAAACAGGACATGGAGTCTAATTGAAGGGCATGGATCACGGGGACCTGATCCTGGGGACTATGTGGTCCCTGGTCTCTCCCTCTCTGATTCTTTCCCTCTCGGCTTCCCAGCTGCCATGAAGTTAACTGACTGCTTCTGCCTTACCCTTCTGCTATGAAGTCCCTGTGTTGGAGACAACCAACCAGAGACCAAAACCATGAGCCAAAATGCACCTTTCCTCTTTTTAATTTGTGTATATCAGGTATTTTGTCCCAGCAACACAAAGGTGACTAACAGTTGGGCGTTGAGCACCATACCATTTCTCAATCATTTCCAACAATTTCCCATTCTATGGCATGGAAATAGTGGCTGGCCTCACCAGTGAGCTCATGACTTTGAAACTTGGCAGTGGTGTACCATCATCATGATTTCCCTTGATTATAAGAATGTCAATGACTACCTTATATTGTCTACTCTTGTGGGTTTCTTTCTACCTCAGAAGATAGACCGACTTCTTCCTCAGTGATATGCCTCTCTCTCACAAATCCTTTTGGCTTTGGTTTTCCAGAAAGAATGTTCTTGGATCCTTTGAGCTCTCTTCACATTACATAATTTTCAGAACTTTTATCTTAAACGGCCTATCTCTGAGCATGCTGTAATTTTTCAATGCTATTCTTATAAATCTAGGGCCCAAAACTGAATATGATACCCAAGATGTCACCTGACCAACCACATAATGAGACTACTTCTTGCCAAGAGTACTAATTTTCTACTAATACTTCTCTCTCATGTCATGTCCAATTGTTAGCAGTGTCATCAGACTTTTGGCTTACTTGGAACTGTAAAATCTTGGCTATTTAGAAATCTTGGCTATTTTTCACATGATTTTTTTTGTCCAGGGAATTCCGCCCCCTCCAACTCTGTGTTTTGTCATTTGTGTTTTGCAGGTAAATGCCAGACTTTATATTTTGACCTATTAAATTGTATCTTATTGTTTTTGACCCAGCATTGCAACCTGTCAGGATCAATCTGAGTCCTCATTCTGTTGCCTCTGGTATTAACTCTCCTCTCAGATTTATGACTTTATACCTTTGATCAGCATGCCCCTGAGTTTTCATCTAGTGATAAATCAGGCAGGATCAAAGATGGAGCCCTTGGTACTCTGCAAAATACCTCATTAAAGGTTGAAAGCCATTGTCATGAGTTGGACACAGCCCCTATAGGTGAGGAAAAGACTTCCCGCCCACTCTCTTGGAGGACTTCCTGTGACTTCCCCTCGGTATCCCCACCTGCTGCTATACCTTCCTGTTCCTCCCTCATGAAACCTGCTCCTGTGTCTGCATCCACCTCTGTAGGTCCCCCTGGACCCTGCTCATTTCCATTCCCATCCGCTAGTCACTTGATCCTCTGCTTCACCCAGTGCCCCCGTGTGACAGACTGAGGTTTGCTGACACTTAACCTACCCCTTCCTGGATGGTCTCGCCCAGTGTCAGACTTTCACTCCCAGCCAAGCCCCTGGCCCAGGCCAACGTGTGACTTCCCTTTCCACCCTGATGGAGTTCAGCACATGGGCTGTGACAATCATCCAATATTCAACACTGTTTGGATTCAGCTGTTGAGCCAGCTGCAAATACACAAAACCTCTGCTCTCATCCAACCCACATTTCACCATCTTAGCCACAAGGAAACCATGAGAGAAGCTGTTAACCCTAAGCTGAAATCAAGACCTGCTATGTTTATAGTGTACACCTGATTTGCAAACATAGTAACCTTATCACAAGAGGAAATGAGGTTAGTTTGGAATAATTTGTGCCCAGTGAAGTCATTTTGTTCTCAGCTGACCACCACATTCCTTCCTAAATGCTCACCCACCATCTGCCTCTTAATCCACCCTGCTTCCCTGTAGTCAAGGATCTACCTCAAACTTCCTTGTCTGGGTTTCCAGAAACAATCTCTTTGCCCTCTCTGAAAATCAGGATATTCTCTGCCCAGTTCCTGATTCTGGCACCACTTTCTGTTCTACACAGTTACTTAAAAGCTACTGACAGTGGCTCTAGGATCCCACCGGAAAGTTCTTTCCACACCTTAGGATGTGAGTCATCAGGCTGATAACTTGGACTCCCTTGAACCTTCTTGCTCCCTTCGTATCTCCCTATCTTTTTGAGCTCTGATCCAGTCTGGACACCTTAGACTATGGGGAGCAGTAACCTCTGGCTCAACTCAAACAGTAAGGAAATTAACTCACAAAATGAGAAATACTAGGCAGCGAGATTTTAAGTTAGTTATTCGGTAGATGAGTTCCATCTTCAAGGACACTTTTCGGACGTTTTGTTCTGTCAACCTCATTGTTGATTTAATTCCTTTGCTGTCACAAGATGGTGTTTGCAGTTCCAACAATGCTGTGCAAACCCGACCATGTGCAGCAGGAAAAGGAGGACCGGCCAAACATCTTTTTAGAAGCAAAGATATATTTTCAGAAATGCTGGTAGACCAATTCTCACTTCCTATTGGTCAGAAGTAAGCCTCATGCCTATCCACCAGCCAATCAGTGACAAGAATGGAACCACAATGATTGCTTTAGTCTATTAC